CCCCAAAACCCCAAAACCCCAAAACCCCATTATTCGGACGAGAAATTGAAAATCCCGCAATATAAGAATTTATTAAGAATCCAGATCAACTGATCATAAAATATTTTTGCCAACTAATTCTTGAACCTCTTCATCGCCAAGTCCACATTTTGTGGCTTTGAGTTTCTTTAGGGATGCTTTAAAGTCTGAAGCTTTATACAGTCCCTCCATTAGGTTTAAGAATGCTTCTGAGGTGGCCCAGTCTCCATATTTAGCATCTTCCATGTTGCTAAACTCGAGTTCTTCAATAGCTCATCCATCAAGCTCAGAGCCGAAGTCAGGAACTGAGGATAATTCAATGTTGCAGGAACTCAGTGAGACGCAGGGCTTATTCTTAATCACTGAGAAGAGCTGAACTAGCATCTTTTGACTGATATTAAAGTTGCTAATAGTAATCTTTCTCTCTGCTTGATCATTAAGCTCGACCACTTGAGTCATAAAACCGTCAATATCTTGTAGTTCTCTATCAGGATTGAAAATGAAAGCTCTTTCTTTACTCGGAGAGCAGGTAATGACATACGGAGTGTACTCATCTTCATACTTGCATTCTTCAATGCCTAAACTGGAACATGTAGGGACTCTAGTCATGGACTTTTCCTGAGTCGATAAATGCGAAAATATGTAAATTAATTAACTCTTACAAATAAAAACTGAGCTAAAGAAGCATAGTCATTAGAAAGCTTTATAAAGAGCAGGAAGCAGATTTATAAGTAAGGGATAAGATAAGCAGAATGCATTCGAGGTTCCTAGATGACAGAGCTAAAAGGGACCCTAGAGGTGAGTGTAAATCATTGTTTAAACTAGGAGATTGCCACCTAAATATTTTCGATATGGTTTAAAATATAGTAAAATTGGAATCTTTGAAATTTCTAAATCTATTCTATCCAAATTTAAAGTCCATAATTTTACAGTTTATACTCAGTTTTCTTACCGCCAATTATAATGCTCATTTCCTTAAATGACTCCATCCTTGCTTTATTTGTCTTATTCTCTGACTCTAAAGGAATCAATGTACTTTAATATTTATCAAAGACCTAATTAGGAGATAAGATGCAATGAAATACATAAAAATAAGGATTTGCATTCTGTAAGCTTCTGAATGAGAGTAGTACCTTGACTTATAAATGCTCTTGAACATCCCAGATGTTATGGATCTCTTCTTTCTTCCTCTGAGTGCTACTTTCCTCTTCAATAATTCTTTGTCTCTTATTATCTATGTCTTTTTCAATCTGCATAAGGATTTTACGTGTATCTTCTAATTTGTTTTTACAATCATTCTCTTCCTGAGCTAGTTTCTGCTCATAAGCTTGCTCAAGTCTCTCAACCTTTTTCTTATGTTCTTCTTTAATCTCTGAGGTCTTGGCTTGATGGTCTTCTTCTATCTGGACTTTCTCCTTAATCCAAGCATCATAATCTTCTTTAATCTCAGCTTTCAGGTCCATTAGATCTTGGATCTTCTCTTGAGCAGCCTCTTTAGCTTCGGCTATAACTTCACTAGATTTTTCTTCCAGTTCTTGAATACTTTTACGATTATTTTCAGCTATTTTCAAAGGAACACCGGGGGTTATCTCGTACAAGGCATCGTAATCTTTCTGATTAATTTGGTCACTAGTATCATCGCAGACTTTTCCTACAGTAAAGTCCATGAACAGGGGTTCTTTTCTAAGACTATTGAGTATCCTCAAGACCTCCTCCTTTATGAAGTAGTATTCATAAGCATTATAGTCGATGGAGCGCTTACCCTTGGAAGAGGTTACCAGAGGCTTCGAGTTTGAACCATTCTTCCGAGGCTTTGAGTTTGCGTCATTCTTCTGAGACTTTGAGTTTGGATCACTCTTCTGAGGCTCTGAGTTTGCACCAATTTTCTCAGGTTTAGGTTTCTCAAGAGATAACTGGCAGTCCCTGTTATAATGAACCTCTTCTAACTTGCTTTGTGCAGATTTTATACACACTATGTACTTTTCGAAAACCTCTTTTATCTCATCGAGTTTTTGGTAATTTTGATGCTCAGAGAAGTAGTTAAGCATTTCATTCGTTAGTTTTGACAATGCATCAAAATGATGAATTACCTGACTGGGAGACACCACTGGAATTGATGGCTTCCTGGAGTACCTGAGTTTGTAATGCTTGCTGCACACATAGAGAGTAAACTCAGGTATATAAAATTTTGCAAGCGAATCACAAGACTTTCAATGACACTTAATCGTGTTCATTTTATTTCTATTTTATTTCAATAATGTCCCTATCTTAGGGGTTTTGGGGTTTTGGGGTTTTGGGGTTTTGGGGTTTTGGGG